ATTATAAGTAGGATGACTGTAATTCGTATCAAATRTTAAAATAATTGGTAACATTTATTTATTTGAAATATTCTCATTCAGTTGTTCCTTTTTGACATCACTTCCTGTTATTTCACATGCAAATATCTCAACAACTGTCCATCTGAGCAATGTGAAATTAGTTTTCTAATAATATGTTACTAATGTTGTCATTTCAAAAATGCATTCATATTTCTTACCAAAATTTTATGTCACGTGCACTTTAAGTTTTCATCTATAGCAAGCTGGGGTTAAGAACTCCAAATTTTGGGTCGTTAGAGTATTTCCAGGAATTAAATTAAGTTTAAAACTGACTGCTAAGAATTTTTTTTTGCTATGTTTGACAAAAAGGCAGTTAGATATGGATAAAAACAATTGGTCTATTAGCAACATTTTAATAATTGAACCAAAAATACTTTGATTCGTGAATTTCTGCCACAGTTTTAAATTTTTTTGTCATTTGTGTTTGTTGTGAAATTGGTCTTAAATTTAATTTCGCCTGGCATTAAAAAGTCATAAAAAGTCTTAAATTTAACTTGCCAAACTGTAGGAACACTGCATATAGATTTTTCTTATTTTTGTATGTGTTTTGATGGATTTTAAATCTAATTTTAATGTTGATTTTTGTATTGATATTGTTTCTTTTTCGTTATTTTTATGTAAGTGGCTATTTTACGGGTTTTTTTTTTTTACTGTTGTGTGTCTGATTTGATTAGGAGTGTTTTTTACATAAGCCTATTCAGGCTTTTACCCTTCCCTTGCATGGGAAATATCTCATTTTGAATTGTTGTTGTGCTCTTTTTGTTTTTCCTTTTGTGTGTTAAATAAAATCAAATCAGGAACAAATCGTAACTATAGGATTTATCAAAAAGGAAAGTCTTCAGTCTAATCTTAAAAGTAGACAGAGTGTCAGCCTCACGGACAGAAACTGGAAGTTGGTTCCACAAGAGAGGAGCTTGATAACTGAAAGCTCTGCCTCCCATTCTACTTTTAGAAACTTCAGGAACCACAAGTAAACCTGCAGTCTGAGTCGTGATCCCCAATTTACAGTGCCTCYGCATGGTGTCGCACGGTGGCGACATGCGCACAGCGACACACCAAAATTAGATTCAATCCTATTTTTGCCAAATGGCGGATCAACTCAATCTACAACGGTCACATTGCACCAACAGGAAGAAAGAATGAGCACAACATCTGTATTTTCAAAATAATTCACCAAAGGCAGACAACATTTTGTCAAAATCCTAGCTATATTAATAAATACATGCGTATATTTGTACAATATATGCTGTTAAAATTTAACATTCTGTTTGAGAAGCAGATACAGTGGGGAAAAAAGTGTTTAGTCAGCCACCAATTGTGCAAGTTCTCCCACTTAAAAAGATGAGAGAGGCCTGTAATTGACATCATAGGTAGACCTCAACTATGAGGGACATAATGAGAAAACATATCTAGAAAATCTCATTGTCTGATTTTTTTWAAAGAATTTATTTGCAGATTATGGTGGAAAATAAGTATTTGATCAACAACAAACAAGCAAGATTTCTGTCTCTCACAGATCTGTAACTTCTTGTTTAAGAGACTCCTCTGTCCTCCTCACATTACCTGTAGTAATGGCACCTGTTTGAACATGTTATCAGTATAGAAGACACCTGTTCTCAATCTTAAATGGTCACACTCCAAACTCCGCTATGGTGAAGACCAAAGAGCTTTGTAAGACACCAGAAACAAAACTGTAGACCTGCACCAGGCTGAGAAGACTGAATCTGCAACAGRCAAGCAGCTTGGTGTGAAGAAATCAACTGTAAGAGCAATCATTACAAAATGTAAWACCTACAAGACCACTGATAATCTCCCTCRATCAGGAGCTCCACACAAGATCTCAGCCCGTGGGGTCAAAATGATCAAGAACAAAAATCCCAGAACCACAAGGGGGGATCTAGTGAATGACCTGCAGAAGGCTGGGACCAATGTTACAAAGACTACTGTCAGTAASACACTACAACACCAGAGACTCGGATCCTGCAGTGCCAGAYGTGTCCCCCTGCTTAAGCCAGTMCAYATCCAGGCCCGTCTGAAGTTTGCTAGAGAGCATTTGGATGTTCCAGAAGAGGACTGGGAGAATGTCATATGGTCAGATGAAACCAAAGTAGAACTGTTTGGTAGAAACTACTCATCGTGTTTGGAGGAAAGTGAATGCTGAGCTGCATCAAAAGAACACCAACTGTGAAGCATGGGGGTGGCAACATCATGCTTTGGGGCTGTTTCTCTGCAAAGGGACCAGGATGACTGGTCCGTGTACATGATCACAACGATGGGCCTCATGCAAGAACCGTTCGTACGCACAGATTTGTTCTTAAGTTGTGCGTACGAGTGA